GGTTCAAGCCATTCTCCTGCCTCAGCCTCCTGAGTAGGTGGGATTACAGGCATGTGCCACCACGCCCAGCTAATTTTGTATTTTTAGTAGAGACAGGGTTTCTCCATGTTGGTCAGGCTGGTCTCGAACTCCCAACCTCAGGTGATCCACCTGCCTTGGCCTCCCAAAGTGCTGGGATTACAGACATGAGCCACTGTGCCCGGCCTACAATGTGGCAATTTTTTTTGTATTAGTCAAGTGCAGTAGTGAGAAGGGGGGAAAGAATAGAACAAAGAGTTCAATCTGTAACTGACCATGAACAATCAAGTGAGATAACTCACTACCTTGAGACTAGCCAACTTTGCCAACGCTGTTGTTCCTTCAGCAATCACTAGCTGGTATTCTCTTCTACCTCTGTTTATGTATTTGTTGGTAAGTTTATTTGCTTTTTAGTATCACTCTGGACTCATAGATTCTTTTATTCAATGTGATAATTCATTATTGCCATTATTAATTTTGATATTCAAATTGTTCCAGGTTTGGTCAGTGGGGCCCCATCAAGCTGGCCCCTGTGGCCTTCTGACCTGTCTCTATCATTCTTTGAGCACCTCCTTGTGTTCTGAACAAGCTGCTCCTGACTCATTGTTGACCTTCCCTCCTCTTCCCACAATGAGCCACTTCTCCTAGGAGCCCTGGCTCCTTTTAATAGACAATGGTATTTAGAAACCAAGATATGGGCATGAGGAATGCTCATTGCTACTTGGGTGGCCCTGCTCCCCAGCTCTCTCAGCAGGCAGATCTTGAAAATAAACTCTTAAGTCAAAATGAAAAGTAGGCCAGGCACGGTGGCTCACACCTGTAATCCCAGCACCTTGGGAGGCTGAGGTGGGCGGATCACTTGAGACCAGGAGTTCAAGACCAGCATGGCTAGCATGGTGAAACCTGTCTCTACTAAAAATACAAAAATTAGACAGGCGTAGTGGTGCACGCCTGTAGTCCCAGCTACTTGGGAGGCTGAGGCAGGAGAATTGTCTGAACTGGGAGGCAGAGGTTGCAGTGAGCCGAGATCACACCACTGCACTCCAGCCTAGACAACAGAGTGAGACTCTGTCTCCAAAAAAACAAACAAACAAAAAAAAGTTAAGGGTTATCCACCAAGTTTCCAAGTTTCTCCACTATAAAGGTTCCCCACTATAAAGGTTCCTTTTTTATCTTTGTAATTAATAAATAATCTGTGGAGTCTCTCATTCCAATTCATGGAGCTCTTCTTTGCCTTCCTTCACTCCATATTTGTGTGTTTCTTCTCTCATAGTGAATATCCCAGCTCCCAAGAATGTCATTATATTTACTTATTTGCTTAATCCTACAATACACAGAAAATATTTTCAGAATTGCTATACCAGATCACTACCAACTAAGTGAAGTGCACAATTTCTTTGTAGTTTTGTTTGTTTACACACAGGTGTATAGTCAAAGAGCTATGTTCAAAGTTATTTGAGTTTGACTTTCTGTGGTTAATTTACTATGCAGTTTAGCTCATTTGTTCACTTTTGTTTGTATTCAATTTTAGGTTTCTTTTCCCCCATCTTATGTTGATTTAGTTTTACTTTTAAAATACTAAAACATTAACATGTTTTGAAAAGTCAAAACTGCCCCCAAAAAAGGTATGCTTGGAGATGTGTCATTTCCTCTTAGACTTTCACCCCATTCCCATCCACCCACTACAAGTAGCCAATTTATTAGTTTCTAGTTTTTTCTTCCTGGGTTTCTTTTTTCCCTTTCTTTTCTCTTTTTCTTTTTTTTTTTTTTCCCCAAATTAAGGAGCTACTTGAACGTTTCACACGAAAAGTAGCCTAATACAGTACTCTGTGTTTAACTTTTGTTCATTTCCTAATACTGTATACCCTAGAAATCACTCCACATCAGTTCACAGAGATCTTCCTCACTATTTTTTTAATTTTTTAGTTATTTATTTATTTATTTTTGAGACGGAGTCTCACACTGTCGCCCAGGCTGGAGTACAGTGGTATGATCTTGGCTCACTGCAAGCTCCACTTCCTGGGTTCACATCATTCTCCTGCCTCAGCCTCCTGAGTAGCTGGGACTATAGGCGCCCGCCACCACGCCCAGCTAATTTTTTGTATTTTTAGTAGAGATGGGGTTTCACCGTGTTAGCCAGGATGGTCTCGATCTCCTGACCTCGTGATCTGCCCGCCTCGCCTCCCAAAGTGCTGTGATTACAGGCATGAGCCACCGCACCGGCCCTCACTCTGTTTCATAAGTGCATCGCGTGGATGGACCAGGGTTTATTCAACCAATTGCCAACGTATTGGCAGTGAAGTTGTTTCCAAAATTTTGCCATTGCAAACAATGCTGCAATGAGTGACCTTGTACATATATACACTTTTATACTGGTGTAGGCGTTTCTCCAGGGTAAATTCCTAGCTGTAGAATTGCTGGGTCAAAGGGTAAATGCATATGTAGTCTTGTTAAACAATACTAAATGTTCCTCTCTAGGAGTTGGACCATCTTGCATTCCCACCAGCAATGTACCACAGCATCTGTTACCCCACAGCCTGTCCTGTTGCTTTACACTTAGCAACTGGATTAGTTAGAACCCTGATGGTTTCTCAGAGTACCCTGCGTTTCTCTTTCTGCGGGAGAAACGGAACATCTTTTCATTGAAGGGCCAGTTTTATGTCATTTTTGTGCAGATTGTCAGTTCATGTCTTTTGCCTATTTGGTCTTTGGCTCCCTCAATGTTTGAGTTATTTACATACTTGGGATCTTAAACCTTTATCTGTGACAGATGTTGCAAATATTTTTCCCAGTTTGCCATCTGTCTTTAATTAATGGTAGGGGTTTTTTTTGTTTTGTTTTTTGTTTTTTGAGACAGGGTCTCACTCCCTCACCCAGGCTGGAGTGAAGAGCCGTCATCTCTGCTGACAGGAAGATCCGCCTCCCTGGCTCAAGAGATCCTCCCACCTCAGCCTCCAGAGTAGCTGAAACGAACTTTTCTTATTTTTTGCAGAGAGGGGTTTTCTCTATGTTGGCCAGGCTGGTCTCCAACTTCTGGACTCAAGAGATTCTCCCACCTAAGCTTCCCAACGTGCTGGGATTAGATGTGAGCCGCAGGGTCTGGCCCTTTTTTTTTTTTTTTT